GCCAATAATGTTCTAGCATCAATAACAGCTTGATATACTCTTAAACATTCGCCATCACTAGCAACGAAACATGCACTTGGAGAATTTGATAAATTACCCAAGGTAGTACTTGGTAAAAGGTTGGAATCCATGCTACATTACAGAATGCTGAGATTTCAGGAGAATTAATACGTGCTAATTCGGAAACTCCACCGCTCTTTGACAAAGGTCCGACTGTGTCTACGCGCCACAATATTAATTCACTGCAGAAACCAGTAGGTGAGATATCTTTTAAAGTTGTTTTACTGGAATCCGATTTATTAATAACATTTTCATTTGAATCAGCATTTCGACATTGAGATCCAGATTCTGGTATATTATGATGCGATGTTGTTACTAATAAAGGCAACACTGGATGACAAGTAATATCGTTCACTCGAAATCGATGTCCTGAAGCTCTTGACGCGTGCCCAATACTTAATACTTGTGAAAATTTTGTTTTATCAGCAAATGTTAATTGCCATAAATTTAAGGTTCCATTTGAATGCTTTGACACCATAGATACAATTGGACTTGGGTGAGTCAATAAATCATTAACCGTTTCTTGATTTGTTTTTCCACTTTCTAAATGATTGTCTTTTTCTTTTACGATATTTTGATTTGGATCAGATGAATTTTCAATATTTTTTAAGAGTTCCTGACCTGCTTTTGATGTTAATGTCGATTGTTCTTCATCTTGTTCAATTAAACTCGGTAATGGCGTCGCAATGTCAGTAGTTTCGTTTGATGGTTTTGTGGATGATTTTGCTACTTCTCGTATATTTAATAATGGACCGCCAGTATTATGCGAATACATTGATACGCTATGACTCATTGTAGAAGCATCGCCAAGAGGAAATGCATTAGGTATTCGTGTAGAAAATGATATTTGGGCTTGTCGAAATGATCCTGGATGATATTCATCCAACCATTCAATATGCCAAATTAAAAAACTTCCATCTATCGGATGGATTGAAAAGAGTAAATCTGGATTATGATGCCAATCGCGCAATAAGGTTTCTATTTTTGTATCTAAAGAATCCGGAGCATGATTTATTGAGGCCGTTACATCCGTTGCAATTGAATTAATGGATGTAGTATTGCTATAAGAAAAAAGAATTTAAAGAAATTTAGAAGTTTCTCTTGCAAATCAATAAGTTTTGATATAATAATATAATATTAAATACATATAATATATATTTTACATTTTACAGAAACAAAACAAGAACAAATATTTTTGAATATTTAAGAATATTATACCTGAGGCTTTGGTGAGAATGTGCACTATGTGGTAAACTATGATGCGATGAAATTGTATGAGTTGTATGATGTTCGTCGCTACTATGATCTTCTTGACTCATCGATCGAATTGTACCACTTGTCTTTTGAATAGGTTGTAATCTTACTCCTTTTTCTATAATTATGTGCAATTATTGAGTTATTTGTTGATATCTTTCTAAAATGTAAAATATATATTAAATATGGAAAACATACTGGATAAACCTTCTTCCTCAGAATCATGTTCCATATGATCTACATCTTGTTGATGCAATCCTTCTTCTTTTTCTACTACTTTACGAGTAAGTTCTTGTAAAATACTTTCTGCTTGCATTGTAAAGTGCATTTCCTTATTATTTAACCAATGTAAAATAAAATTTGGTTCCCTTTCAGGATCGCCTGTGATTAAACTTGGTACTAATGGTATATCTGTAGTAGACAACAAATATTATTGATATGATTGTTAATTTAATATAATTATATTATGATTATATAATCATCATACCAGTTTCAGCATTAATACTTGCTGCTAAATGAAAATGCATTCCTGGATAATGACTTGTCCCTTGATAATTATTGTGAAAATCATGAACTGAATATGTTGATGGTAAAGTTGGTAAAGTTGGTGCTGTATGACCTGCTTGATGTTGCTGTTTTGCATGGCGACGAATATGAAAACAAGTCCTACAAAAAGCATATGTCCCATTTTATGAATAAAATATAAATAAAATTTTGATATTTTACGCACTTCATATGTTTGAGCCGTTGCATGAATCGATGTTTGTGCATGTTATGATGTCTATGTTTTCCATGATGACCATGTCTATCAGAACCTTCAAATTGACTCATATTTGCTAAGCCTTCTACTTCGGGAGGTATAGTTTCTGCCCATACTCGACAAATGTTATCTCTACAAGATGTAACCAGCATATTGGAAACAGATCCTCTAGAAGAAAATCAAATCCTGTATTAATTCAACTGCAACAATATAAATAATAATTAGTTATAAAAATTTTTTTTTACATACTTTGGCATATATTTACTAGTTTTACGCCAAGATAAATGTGTTACTGCACGAGGATGAGCAACATAAACAAAACTATAACTGTCATTACCCATAGACTGAGTGACATTTGTGTGATCTATATTTCTTGTAGAAAATACTGAATAATTTTAAATAGGCTTGTATTAGAATCATTGTTAAGTTGATTTATAAAGTTAAAATATCTTATTTTCATTACACATATAAAAAACTTACATTGTTTGTTTTCAAACCATATTTTTACTAATCTATCATTAAATCCAGTTGTCGCAAATAATGTACCATCTGGACTAAAACTCATAAGATGTACTGGTGTAGCTGTACGACATTTCCAAACACAATTCCATGCTCCAGGTTCATTTCCACTATTGGAATCACCAGGGGCTGGACTTTCAGCATCTCCAATTGAAAAAGTAACTGTACCAGCTGAAAAAAATTGATTTTATTTTATTATATAATTATATATGTTTATTTAATTTTGAAAAATACAAAATAAATAAATATCAGACAATTTTTTTCTCTTTTAAATATTGGAATATAAGGAAAATGACATTATAAGGCTTTTTATTATATTATAGCATGAAGGTGTACAGCATACAGCATCAAGCTAGAGTGTTTAAAACATTCTATGTAATGGATTGCAAAAAGCAATTTTTTTTTAAATTATTGTGTATAAAAGAGTAAAGTGATAAATTTTAATAAAACAAAGATTTTGGAATATATATTTAAAATATAATGCTATTTGTTAAATAATTTTTGCAAAATCAAAGCTTATGAAAATTAAATTCAAACATTATTTTTCATATTTGTATGTACTTTTCCTAAATAACAAAACTCACGGTCTTGTAGAATATTTGAAGTATTTTCTTCATGCCCAGTTATAATATTTTCTTGAGGCCGTAACATACTTATCTTCATCACTATACATAATTTTATTATTGTGACAAACACAAAAATATATCATATATAATCAATAAATGAAATTAGAAGAACTATTAATTATTATTAGATATAAATTATTAGATATCAATTAAATAAAATTAAAAAGAAAGACTTACTATGTTCTTCTTGAAATGGGGTTATATTTTGATGCCACAATTGTAAAAGTTCTCCACCAGTTAATAATCTTGTTCCTTCTAAATTCCATGATAGTGAACTAATATTTGATTCCGTTGTCAGACTACCAGTTTGAACCCATCTATATTCTAACTGCTATAAGTTATATAAAAAAATTAGTATATAAAATAATAAAATATGTAAGAATAAATATTAAAATTAAATGTGACAAAATAAAAAATACATACATGAGAGCATGTACTATGAATAAGTGGAGTAGGCTCAAAAATGCAAACTTGATTTTCATAAGCTGCAGCTATTTTTCCTGTGTCAGTACTACAATCCAAACAACTGATTCTTATGTAGTTATGTACAGCTCCAGGTATTATCTGAACTCGTTCGAAATTACTGGCCAAAATTACTATATTACAACCGGCTGCATATGCCTGTAACAAATTATTCCTTTATAGTATAATATTAAAGAAAATTCGTAAATATTTAATAGTACTTATATTGATAATTATATTCCATATAAAATCATTTGTATAAAAATATATAAAACAAATACTAAAATATATTTGATTTTATATGAAAATAATAAAAATTCTACAATTATATTCATAATCATTAACAATTAAAATTATACAACAAATTAATAATAATTTAATACAAAATATATTAATTTAATTACATATAAACTTGAAAATTTGAAAATGTTTCACAAATTTTTTACAGAATATAAAATATATTGAACGATATGATCGTAAAATATGATAATTACATATATTAATAAATGATTGATGATTAGAGCCGGATCAATAATGAAAAAAGTCAATTAAGTCAAAAATTACTCACAGTAAAAGAAATCCCTTCGACAGAACCTACAGCGTAGCACCGATCACCTGCATTACAAGCTCCGCTTAATATTTGATGACAATTCATTTTTTCAATCAAATATTAGATCATTCTTTGTTAAATTGATTTTTTTATTGGATAAATTGATTTTGTTAACTTTGGCTAATCGTTTTTAAGAAATTTTTGTAAGCTACAACGTCAAAATGCTATCCGAAAGTGACATCACACGGCAGTATCTTGCTCGATTAGCAGCCATCTTTAAATGGATTTTCTCAATACGATGCAACACTTAAGTATACTTGTTACTTATTACGTATGTATGTATATGTGTGTGTATGTATATATACATATTATGTATGTATATATCATTATTTGTCATCTGATCATAGAATATGAATAAAAGAATTTAAAATATTTAATTTTATACTATTATTATTAGATTTCAAATTTTATATTTGAGTAAGATATTCAACATATAATATATATTTGAATCTTTATTCATTTATTTAAGATTATATGTTTATTTTATGTATATATTTAAAATATTATGTATACATATATTTATATAAACGGAATTATAAAAATAATTTAAAAATAATTTAATAATTTTATAAGTACAATTTTTATTTTTTGAATATTTCTAATGTATATAATTTATATTTATAATAAACATTTTTAATTTTCTTATTTTATTTTAAAATTTAAATAATATCTTTTTTTTTAATTAGAAATTTATTCATTTTTTTTTTAAATTAAGAAAAATCTAAGAAAAAAATGAAAAATTTATTCAGAAAGTTGACAAAGTAGTGCTACTCCTCTCAAGATCCAATGTTCTGATGATTTTATTGTAGGTAAAGATACAGCGATAACAAAATTTGTTGAATGTCCAGTGGTAGATAAAACTCCTCGTCTTTCAGAAGTTTTATATACAGGACATGTATATATTGCTCTTTCTTTTATATCTTCTTTTTTTATAGGTATAAACCACATCTACAACGATAATAACAATAAATTATAATTTAATTTATTATTATATTACATAATATTTATATGAAACATAATAAAAAATAATAAAGAATGAAGAAATGAAGAGTATTCAGATATATTAAAAATATATGTATATTATATAAATACGTACAGGAAGCATAGGTTCGTAAAGTACTTTTGGAAAACTTTCATCTAAAATCATTTTTTCTCTATTAAATCTAGCGCCATCTAAAAACAATCCATATATGTATACTCCATCATCAGGAGGAACCGAGGGTGCTCTTTCGTATTTTAATACGAGATAATCAAAAACCAAGAGATCTATAGGAATTTGATATTTTCTAGCATAATTTTGTCTACTTCCTGTTAGAAATGCTTGAGTAAAAAAGAATCCTGACATCCAAAAAATAACCGGTGGTCCTTTTTCATACCATTCCTATAATAAATTTTATATATATATAATTTATATTTTAAAAATTGATAATTAAAAATATTGATGAAAATTATTAAAATTCAAATTTTTTGCAATAATTTGTAATTAATCATATTAGAATCTATTCTATTGATTACAATCATTCAATTTTTCGAATTCAATATTTTAATTTTATGAATGATCACTATTTAACTTTTTAAATTTTCTAAATACATTTTCAAAAATATTTAATACATATTATTTTGAATAAAAAAAAACAATAATAAAATATGTAAATGAAATTTCACTATTCATGAAAATAATACGTATATATTGATAAAAACTTATCGATGTAAAAATATAAATGTATGCGAATATAATTAAATTTTTGCGTGCATATATTTCATTCCTTCTTTATAATATATTATAAATATAACATTTGTTCGCGTAGTAGTGCAATGCATTTAAGTGCATATATACATGTGTCGAATGCTCTTTCGACTGAGATATGTGTGTGAAAAAATTAATGCTCGTGACTGTTAATTGTATTTGTTAAAGATGAGTGGATTGTATAAGCAGTTACACATGCAGTGCGCGTGTTTATAAGAAAACAGAGTTTTCTCACAATATCACAGTAGATAATCGATGGTCAGAGCACAATGCGTTATTAATTTAATTACAAATTATTGTCATATCAATGAAGCTCGTGAACTTAAAATATCTCTTTCTAATTGGAATTTGAATTGGAAAGATCTCAATTACTCAGTGAGGCATAATAATAATCAATAACATCGCGCCTGACTCTTCAAAAACTGCTCGAATTTTTGGTGTTGGTCGCCGTTGATTCATGCTAAATCCCAACCCTTGGGATTGGGCTCCTCTGCAGGTAGGCTGAAGTGTGTCAAAAAGAATTATAAGTGTCGACTTAAACTTACAAAAATGACATTATCTTCTCAGATAACATCAACTTTTATTACTCTTATTTAAAGATCTGCGAGCGATAATAATATAAAGGGATTTCTTTGAAGAATTTCTCCGAATATTATAAATCTCGCGAGCAATAAGTGCTCACGAATAACATTTATAAATATTTTAATATTAATTGTTAAATATTACAAAAAAATGAATATAAAAATATATCATATATAGATATTAATTCTGAAAGAATAAGAATAATTAAATAAAAATGCAAAGATATGAATATATATTTAATATGCATTCATTAATATGATGATTGCATACACGCATATATTGTTTGTTTTAGTATTTTGATATTTCATAATTTGCACTTGTTTTTTTTTCTCTTATTGAAATAAACATTCAAATATTTTGAATTGCAGATTTTATATTTTTAAATAAAATAATGTTTTTCTCTGATATTTTTCCCTCAATAAGAGTAATTCCTTTATCAATAATAAGTAAAATGTTTGAGTTAGAGCAGCACTCTGTATATAAATATAGATATGTATATATACTTAAAAGAACATTATTTTTACCATTGATTCTTCTAATACATTTTAATGATTGAAATCGATAGAATGGATTCTGATTTAAATAATTAATCACTAATTATAATAATAAATTCAGAAAAGGTAATATCTTACTTCAAGAAAAATTATGCGATTTAATAAATCAAGTACGTAACTACCAAGTGGTTTTAAAGATGGATATGAATATTGTTTCCATAAACAAGGTATTTTGTTAGTTAAAATTGCGTCATAAACATCTTCTAGTTCAAATGACATAATGACAAGACCTATGTATAAATAAATGAGAATATGAATTGGCTAAAAATATAATATACAGAAATTTTGACAAAATCACAGAAACCTTTTATAGCTTTTATGATATTTTCCAAGCTCATTCTCATATAGCCAAGAAGTTTATTAAATCTTCCCATTTCTTGTACTAATACAGTATTCATACTCTGTCTATAAGACATTGGATATCTTCTGAGCGCTGCTGCAATATTAAAATCTTCCGGTAATTTTTTTAAAATATCATTCGCCATTCTAAGCACTATTTCATTATTTATGTCTTCTCCTGTTCCGGTTTTAATTCTTTCCTAAAACGATAAAAAGTAGTATAGAATTCAATTGAATTTTAATTTCATTATGATTCAAATATTTTTATATTAAGAAATATTATCATAAATTCTTTATAATATATATTAAATCTGAACGGTGAATTTACTAACCTGTTTTAATTGCCAGAGATCCTAATTTAGCAAAGATACAAGGAAATAAAGATGTATTTATAAAAATAATAGAAAATTATAAAAATCATAAATATAAGTACAATTTTCGCGTAATTTATTTATACTTATTGTAATAGTAATACGTACCAAACGATCCTGAATAAGGTTGCCATATACATACAGAATATAATATTAAATTATTAATATAATTAATGAATAATTTTACATTTATGCAAAATTTAAATATACAGCGCACACAATGCACATAATATGCAAAATATATATATATATATATATATATATAAAAAGAATTAAAAATATTCAAATGCGCATTTGAAAAAGAAGAAAATCTCTATTTAAATTTTATTTTTTTAATCGTATTCATAAAAATTTTACTATGCATAAACATTTTTAATCTGATTAATGAATTCTGTGTAAGTGTAAAAAGATATAAAATAACGACATATCAAAATGAATAAGTAAATTACCTGAGTTAATAGAAGTGACGAGAATAAAAGATCCGTTTCTTGTTGTTCTTTAATAATATCCGCATTATCATTCATACCAAAGACACTTGGTGGCGTAATTAAAGGTAAATTCCTTGTGTATTCCAAGAAAGCTTCATATTCCCTTACAACTGGACAATAATAAATCGTTGAGGTATCGTCGAAATAATAACGCTTCTCAATAAGCAGCCTCCTAGAAAGTAAATAAAATCATGTTATGTAGAAAATTATTTTATTTCATTTAGTCGAATGTAAATAAAAATATAAAAATATGAAGTTACTCGCAATAAAATTTCGTCAAAAGGGTAGTTAAAGTTCTGCGGTCCCAACTATCCGTTACTCTTCCACCATAGTTGCATTCTCCGGTCAAATATTTGAGTGCATCAAATCTCACATCCGGGAATTCATTGAGAAAAAGGTGTAATTGTAAAACGCTGATTCGAAGATCGGTCTCGTTGAATTCATACATAATATTCCAACCAATCGGACCAAAATTTCTTCTCTCTTGAATCACAGCGTGGAAGAAACACAAGGAATAAAGAAGTTTTTTGAAGTACTCGGTTTGTAAGCAAGATTCGAAAAAGTCCGGATCGCTGATTGGATCACTCAAGTACGATCTAATAATATTAGCCCTTAGACCTTTAGGTGGTTCGTTGGTCATTTTTATACTGCTTTCCAAAACCAATGAGGGGAAATGTTCCGACGGATAACTCGTCAACCACAAACGAAATTCTGGATGGATCGTATCTGGCATAAAGCCTTCGCAAATTTTTTCCAAAGTTGCCATCCAACTAATTGCTAAATGACAGTTTTGCAAAACGATCCAATTACCAACAATGACGGCTGATTGAATCATTTCCTCGGCAATTGGTCCTTGTCCTATTAAATATATTCATCAAATTTATTTTTTAATTATTCCTCCTTTTTCCTCTTTTTTTCCTTTTATTTGTTCATCTATATACCCCCCATATATATATCTCTTTTCTTTTTATTCCTCCATCTACATATCCCTTTCTCTCAAATTTTCTCAAAAATATTTAATTATCGATTAAAAAATTTCATTGGAAATAAGCAATTACCTTGACCAAGAGAAATGTAAAAAAGACGACTCACGCCGTAACCTTGTTCATTTGCAAACGAGAGTAATAATTGCGCTGGATCTGTACCAGGTGTTAATATGAATATCAATGGAATGCAACTGTTCGAATCAGCGTAAGACGAGGCCAAATCGAATGGTGGCGGTATAATAAATTGTTCGCCAAGTTCATCTGAAAATTAATGTTATAACATCTAAATATAACATATTAATTTTTAAGTATACACGAGTTAATTAAATTAAATATTAATACCTGATACAAAATTTTGCACTGCGGGAATGATCTTATCAGGACGAATGCATCTTAATATCAATAATCTTTTAAATAGATTAACATCGTGAAATGGGTAAGGAATGTCCGCATTTTGCGGTTCTCTAGAGTCGAATAATTCTTTCCACTCTCTAGTATGTTCAGTAAATGTTATTCGAATACCCTAAAAAAGTAACGATCAAAAATTAAATTTTTATAAATAATATTTTTTTCTTGTTGAATATCATTCACAGGCTAACCAAAAAATTCTCGACATCATCAAGATTACATAATTCATTCCATTGTTTAGTCGGTAGCCATGTTGTTGGATTTACATATGGGTTTTCGATAGCGAGTCCACCCGATAGTAAAAATCCCCAATGTGCTTGAGAAATTTGTCCTCGTTGCTGTAGCAAATTGATCGTCAATAAGAAGGAAAACAATAGTTTATCTTTCTCGAATAAAGATCTACAAACATTTGCGTAAAGAGAATAGGTGAAATATTTTGTAAGATCTTTTAGTCGATTTTCAACAGTGTCCGCTGGTTCTGTATGATCAATAGCCAATTCGAATAAATTTACGAACCATGATAATGAATATTGATACATTGGATCTATATTTATTAACATAGCTGAAACAAAATTTAATTTTTTTTAACAATTCGTTTTTTTATTGTTTTCTAATTAATCAAATGAAAAATACACACGTCTGTATAATCAAAAGAAAAAAATAATATAATGTCAAACTTATTACCAGTGGTAAAAAATAATACAGTTGAATATATTGCGATAGGTGTGTATTCCAATCTAGCTTTGTCGATTGACTTTTCTGTCTGTTCAGCTACCATTTGTTTTACTTGAATTTCGTCACTTAAATTTTTAGACGATGTTAAAATGTTTATCGCTTCTTCATCCTCTAATATATTACCTTCAGCTGCAGATAATACTTCCAAAATTTTGTCTTCCGTTTCTTTTAACAATCTAATTTGCAACAATAATGAAAAAAAAGAAAAGAATAAGATTTGATGAGGAATGTATATAAATGAAAGCCTTGAATAGTATCTTAAAGCTAACGTACTTCTTGTTCGCGGCTCCTTGCACAATCAAAATGTTCTTTTCCGATTCCAAATCTGGTCTTTCCTTTGCTACGACAATACCCAATAATTGATCTTCTAATCCTGTTGGTGTTATCATGAAATTCAATAGTGTTACTTTAACTGCTATTTCTGGTAGATAATGTGGATTTCTTAATCTCGTAGTGATATAGAGTCTAAAAACAAAACAAATTAATAATAATGATTATTGCTATTATAATGAATAATTTTTGTTATATACTTTAATATTGTTGTATCAAAATTATTATACAAAAGTACCTAAAGTTATCATTGTATTCAATAATCGCATCACCAAATTTTATACAGATTGCACCAGCTTGTCTAAATGTTTCCTTAAGTAATATAGGTTCAAGTATAGCATCCAATTCTTCGCCAATATGCTCTAGGAGTACTGGTTGTCCAAATTGCAATGCATTTTCTAATGCTCGTCCGTAATCAGCTTGAGTTAACCGAATGATATTCAAATTATTCTCCTTTTCCATGTTTTTTATCCATCTATTGGCTTGACCTTGAGGATCTATTATCAGTGGCCACCTTCTTGAATTTCTAATAAAATATCAAACGCAAATTTTTCAGTAATAGTATTTAATCACACAAACATTGTAAAAGAAATTATTGAAGAGGCAAAAAAAAAAAAAAGAAAAAGAAAAGAATATATATTTTCTGGTCTATATAGAAAGATTTGGAAAACAAAAAAACGCAAATAGAATATTTTACTTAATAATAATGCCATTGTCGATGGAAAATGCATCATTTGGAAGTCCAAAAATATTCCAAGATCTGATTAAAGCTGGATCTCCAAGTATATCACGTAGCTGAAAATCTGAAGTGCAAATCACTTGTAAATTAGTACATCGTTCCACCCATAGAATAATTTGTTGAATTCGAAAGGGCATTGTGAAAGGACCCAAATATGCAACCACACCAGAAGCAATTATAATATCACCCATTAATCGATGATATCTATGAAATAATAAACTGTAATAATTCATTTAACTCGAAATATATATGTATGTATTGTCAATGTATTGTACATGAATTTTACCTTTCTCCCAAAGCTATTGCGGTTTCATACCAACGCATGTATTCTCCGCCCAATCCTCCGATTAAATCTTCCGCACGTTTTAATTTTGTTTCGCAATCCGTTACTTTGTCGGACATTTCTTGAAAAGCTGCTCTCCTTTCTTCCAAAAGATTTTCCAATATTTTTAATTTTTCCTACAAAAAATGTTTCGTTTTATATATAAATATATATTTCATAGTTGAAAACTATCACACATTTGTGAAAATTTGCATACCTGTACTTGTCGAAGTTGTTTTTGTTTCGCTTCCAAAGTTTCCATGGCTTTGTCGTAAACGCTCTGGGCCTGTGCCAGAGCTTTTCTCTTGGGAGCAACCATTTTCGTCACTATATCGTATTCAGACATTGCAAACACCCATCGACATAATCCCTCGCATGCCGTGGATACTTTCTTTATTTTTTCAGGATCAAAATCCGGATTGGTCAAGTATTGTTTTCGGATTCTTTCAATCACATGATCAGGGATATTATCCTTGTCAAAATTGAGCAACGAATCGAGAAATCTTGCATCGCTCAACATTCTCAAGGACGACCTCCAATAATCTTCGATAAATGTACCGTCAGGTTGTTGAACTCGCTCTGGTTTGATTTGCTATGCAATGTGAGGAAATAAAAAAAATAAACATGTAGTAAAAAGGGAATGATCGATCTGTATGTAACGTTAGTTGAACACAATAAGTTATCAACCTTGAGGACACAGACGCTTTCGAGGATTAATCTCACTCCTCCTGGTGGTTTCTTCATTGCTCTTACTATGGCAATATCGGCTGTTGTCAGAGTATCCAAAGCGCTTTGTGCACGTCTTAGAATCGGCAACGCTTGAGCTAAGTCGGCATCACATTCAGCTTTAATTGCGGCCGCTTCATTTGCATAAACCTAAAAATATATATTTAAACGATATTATTTATTGATCTATGCTTTATCAAGTATAAATATTTTTTTAAATGGCTTTTAATTTTTATGTATATTATACTATGTACATGATAATTATTTGCTGCAAGTAAGATCAATACTTTACCAATAAAAAGTACAAGCGAAATCTATAATAATAACTCAAAAAGTGCAATTTTATGAAATATATCATTGTTACAGTTAAATATATAGGATATATTTACTGACCAAGGCTGCAGCTTCATCAATTTTTACAATTTTCTCAAATTCTTCAACATCGTGACTTTCTTTTTCAACCTCAAGCAACATCCTTTCAACGTCTTGAGTGGCGGTTATTAGTTGCGGTTGTAATAACTTAAGCATATCTTGCATCATTACGACTTGTTTTTGCGCATCGTCTAACTGTTCTAAACCACGTTCGTATCGATTTTTCGCGTTCATTATTTCCCTGTTGTATTACAAAATTTAAAAAAAAAACAATTCCAAACGATTTTTTATTCAATAGTATTACTTACTCTCGTTTTTTAGCTAACAAATACTTAAATGTATTTATCATTTCAAGATATGAAGTTGGAGTAACATAAACCGATCTGTCTAACCGATTTAAGAATTCTATGCTCAAATTTTCGGTGGAAACGTGAAAGTATTGACACATATCGATACCAGCGCTTCTTTCATTATCCGTAAGTTCTATCGCTGATAAAAATCTAGTTGCAACTGCTAGTAGCGCATCTGGCGGCCATGGCTGTTATTATAATTACCGCTACCGTTATCGTCATCGTTACTATTTTCATTATTATTATTATATGAAAAAATACCTGAAGCCAATCGATGGTACAACAATTCACTAATGCCGGAAATTTTCTGATTCTATTGCGGAAATTAGTTCCTATAGGAGACATTACTATCACGATGTGGAGTTGATCGCGTGTTATCTCAACAAAAAGATTGAACAGAGCCACCGCGCTTCCATCCGTTTGTAGTGCTCGATCCCGCTGTCTATCAATTTGTTTCATTTGTTCGTATATTTCTGCTAGTTCATCGATGTTAAATATGTTCGGTATCTAAACATAATTAGAATATTAAGCTGAAAGCATAAGAGTCAAAACATTGATCATCAATTTTTTTTATCAATAAATTTCATTGTTATATTAATTATTGTTATAATAACTATAATTATTTTTTTTGTATTATTTTCGTTTTATGATGTTAGAATTTGCATTGTCAAAGTTTCTCTTCAATTCTATAAAATTTATGTTTATGAACGATCATTTAATTTACCTCTCCGGAATTGAGCAAATTACTGATATCTTCGAGGAAACTTTCCTCTTTAATTTGGGTATCGGAAAAGAGAAAGGTAGAATGAAGATCAGTGGCAGTGGCGCGTCTTAAAATTGCTTTTACATCCTCGTGCCATGCGGCCATTCCGTATTGTTGAGCGACTTCAACTTGGAAAACCTCATAATCGCATATATGTGAAGCTAACCTAGTTAACGATTGCCTTCCTGTACCTCCAACTCCGACAAGAAGCCCGTGACTTCGTGGTTGTTTGATAATACGGCAAATTCGTGACAAATGTTCGACAGCGTATCTAGAAGTCAATGTATTCGAAAAGATTTTTAATCATGATTTAAATTTAATTTTTAATCTTCACTAACCTTTTAAATTATACATATGGATACGTATATGTATTCATTTGAAAAGAAAATTCTTTTCGAATTGTTCTCGAAAATATTTTTATATCTAATTGAATTAATTTCAGAGTGATTGAAATGAATGTCAAACTTATGGATAAATAGATCACGAGAACAATTTTTAAAAGTTTTATCCTCAAATATATTCGTCTACATCACGAGTACGATACACTTACCGAAATAAGACTAAATTCATTGGCTTTCTTGATACTGTATTGTATTCAGACAAATAATTTTCTACTACTTCTCGCAACTCTTCGAGATTCTTAACCTCTTGATAAAGTCGTATCTCCGCTTTCGTGTCCGCAAAATCGCAACATATTAAATTCCGAAGTTCTAAGTCGGTGATTAATTCAGGCTTGATTTAAAAGAAATAGAAATATGCAACAAAACATCGTTGTATAATGATATTAAAAAAGATTAAAAAGATTTACTTTGTCGCGTGAAATGATAAGATCTTCAAACAATTCATCCATATCCACGAGCATTCGATTCGTTAGAGTAACGCGTATTTGTTTCACAAGCCAAGAAATATCAATTTGATCTATTAAACGATCTCCAAACACTCGAAGTATCTCGTGAACCCAAAGTCTCCTCATGCAGGATATAGTTGGTGTAGTTTCTGGGACTGACAATAGCACGCCCTACAAGATTCAAATTACATACAATATTTAAATTAATTATTATGAGTGTATACGAAATAGATTAAAATAAAAAAAATAATAAAACCAAGAATTATACAAAAATATTACTGTGACAACAAAAAGACACTTTTAAAAATTAAAAGAACCTGTATCACTTTGGAAAAATCACGAAGATTGAAGACATAATGACACTTGGCTGGAGTTGGTAAAAGATTAGCTAGACTTTCTTTGTACACATCTAACGTACCCATAACAACTTCTTCCATACATACATCGAAATCTTTACTGAATCCTACT